CTCCAAAAACAATCCTAATTATAAACCATTAACCCACTCCCTTTAATTCTGGATTAGCATGCACCGAGACCCAATCCTTTTTAACATGAAGCTGTAATCAATTACAAATAGAGTAAAATAGATCAAACACAATGTATACTGTTCTACCAGGTTATCGGACATGTACAGTATAACCCAATTTTAATTCAAAGCATTACAACCCATGCATTCACTTCTTGTTACTGATCATGATAATAAGGTGCCAGATTTTCTAAACATTTCCAACCATCCTAACACTTCATATCATGTAGCATACTATTCCAGTAGTCCTATGATTCAAGTCTGCAAACTAAATACGAATTCAAGGATACTACACCTAAGCTTTTTAAATCTTAAGGCCATCATTTCACTAGTTTATATTCATACCACAACATTTAGTATTTCACAGTTTAACCCTGTCTCTGTACCTGACCAGTCTCTAGAGTGATAACATGCAACTCACGTCAACATCAACAAAGTAAAACAGCTTTCATACCATACACATATCATCTGACTCATAGTTAAATTAAATACTCATAAGTAAACGCACATTCCATACCAAACAGAAACAATACTTCCTTTAATTTATGTATAATTAGGAAAAACAGAACTTCATCAATTATGCAGATCGGGTAAAAGGTTTCTTACAATTTAGAGGTACATATTAGCACCTCATTATGTAGAGAAATCACCTCATATAATACTCTAATCAATCAGAATGACATTTTAACACTAGACACACATATAATGTTTAGAACAACACCAATTTCACGAGTAATGAATCAAAAGGATAATATCAAGCATACGAATAACACAATAAATAAGTTCATTCGGTTTATCATAAATTTTTCAGACTCACAATATTTAAACCACCAAGTTCCAACTAGCTCAAACAGACTTAGAACATGTTATCATTAAAATATTTTATTGCATCAACCTCCAAGTGTCAGAAATCATCGAAAGTACAGAAAACAATTCAATCTTCATACAATTATAAATAAAGGTGAGCTCCTCACATACATACAATTCATCAGAATATTAGTAAGTAATAATGAAACCCTAAAGTTTCAAAATTAAACTAAACTTCTATTCACAAACCACACGGTACAAGGAATAAAAGCAGTTTTGTTCCCCATACCTGTTCTTGCCTTTTCCCCCACTGCTACACAATCCAGAGCTTATCTTGTATCCGTGACCCTCTCTTCCTCCCTTTCCATTCCCTCTTTCCCTAAAACTATATAAAAGAGTCGCAGGGCTCCCGTGAACAAAAGAGACCTCCGCTTTTTCGCCCTTTCTCACATTTAAATTTGGGTTTCACGGCCCAACTCAAACTAAACAAAAAATAAAAATAAAAGCTAGGGAGACACTGCTGTGCATAAGGATCGAACACTGGTCCCCTCCCTCTGGGAACAATAATTAGAACACCCACACTTATTTCAATTTAAACTATTCTATTTTGCCTACTTTCTTATTTTCACATTTTAAATTTTAACTTAACTAACTATTATTTTATTTTATTTTTCACGCAATATTTACCCGCACTATACAAATAAGCAATACAATATTTTCAGTATTATTTATTATTGTTATTATTATTTTAAATAGACAAGATTCTTATATTAACTTTATATCCAATAAAGTATATAACAACTAGGATCTTACAAATAAGTTCATGTATTTTTACTAACTAAAACATGATCAAGAGGTTGGGTGAACTTCCCTTAACCGTGTCTAATATGGGTCTCTTTTTACTGTGATTCCCAACTCTATAAATGGTTTAATAATCATTTTCTTTAAATGGATAATGATATTCTGATAACATTTTAACATCTACGCGTCATTTTATGATTGGTCCAAAATTATTCCACAATGAATAATAATAATCATAAACACAAACATGGATCAATCACAGAATGACACATAGATGGTGTTAAAATGTAAAAAAATGTTGTCAAAGTATCATTATCCTTTTCGAATTGAGATAAACGTATTTTCTTCCATTCTAACCATACTCCAAGGTTTTCTCTTTATTGGAAAAGGCCAATAAAGATTAACCATGTCAAATAATGTGGTAGCAAAAAGGGAACACTATCTCATGTCGACCATGTTTCAACATCCACGACACACTCCAACTCTTTGCGGCACATTAACATGTTGCGGGGTGTGTGCCGAGGTATGGCGAATCAAGCTTCCCTATGCCTTATGATGCGTAAATGTTTGATGTTGTTGGGGGCATCAGGATGCCCTCAATCTGCCAAGGTAATGATAATGAGGAGCCTAACCATCCTTTGTCATTTCCAAGATGCCTTGGCAAAAAACAAAGGAGCTGAAAAAAGAAGGTGGAGGAGTTGACTAAGGCCAACACCAAACTATTGGAGAAGGAACAAACCCTTCTCAAAGAGCAGGTTGAGAACCAAGCAATTTCTTCCAAGGTTGTTCAGCGTCTTGGTCAAATTAAGAATTTGGAAGTTGAATTAGGCATGGCTAACAAAGCTATAAAGGCAATGGAGAAAAATAGAGAGGAGGTTAAGGACCTTCAGGAAAGTCTTAGGCTAGAGCTAAAGAAGACCAAGGAAGAAAAGGATAAGGTTCAAACCATTTAGTAGAAACAAGGAAATCCCTTGGCGAGGCAATATCGTGAGCACCTTAAATGTCAACAAAACTCACTTTTAATTCTATACACCTTAAGGGAGAGAGACAAGGAAACAAGACTGACTTTGAGAGAAAGTTAAGCTCCATTTGCAAGAGATATGAAATGAGGCTTTTCTCGAAAACAAATAGATGAGAACAAAGAGGTATTACCATAAATGTGATCAGAAGAGAGTCAATTATTCATGAATTTTGACCTTCCATGAATTGAGAAATGCAGGTTGTAGATGTACTGAGAGATTGAGATGGTTGTGTCAAGCTATTAAACTTTAACCTTAGATAATCTTGGTATTTATCCTCAATGAACTTAGAAGTGGAAGTTTTTCAATCTTTGAATTATTGGCGGTTTTGGAAGGGAAACCATGTAAGAAGTAGCAATTCTCTTGAGTGTGACCCATCCTTTTACAGTATGTGCATTGAGGACGTCCCTGACCTCCTCGTCCTCCTCCTCTAGTGCCACGTCCTCCTCTTCCTCGTGTGGCAACCATGAATGGTCAAAATTTTATCTCTAAGGTGATCAAAATCGGGATGTAGGGCGCAAATGATCAACACCATGTAAAATTTGTCTAATTTCTTCTTGATATCCTTTAATGGGTCCACTTCCAAAAACATCATGAGTTCTTCGACAACAAATTGAGTTTCAGCATGAAGGACACCATATCATGGTCTATCATTTTAAGAGATGCAAGCTTGTTTGTAGTATCATAGAGACGTTAAATATCGTTGGCATAGATGCTTTGAGCTTTCTTCCCAAAAAGAGTGACAAGTTTTGAAAGCCCTTGGAGATATAAGAAGTTTGGGTTCCACTGTTTGTCATAAAAGGGCACATAACAGGACCACATTTCAACGGCAACAGACCATGATAGATAATTATTTCCATTTAACTTCTCGGAGGCAATTGATAGACTCCTAGAGAAAGAAAAAGGACTGCCAGATGCCACCTCTGAAGAAGACGAATCGTACCAGCGAGGAACAAGAAAACCCTAAGGCTTTCTCCACTTGAATGGATTTGGAGGAGAGTGCTTGAATGGATTTGAGAGGATTTTAAGGTAAATTTTGTTGTTGTTTATTTGAGTGAATTTGGAAGTAAGTGAGAATGGATTTGGAAGTAAAGTTTGTGAGAATTAGTGTAGGATTTGATTAATGTGACAAATTAAAAAAATTTCCTTCCAAATCCACTCAAATAAAACAAAAAATTTACCTTTAAATCCTCTCAAATTCATTTAGTGACTCTTCTCTAAATCCATTCAAGTGAACAAAGTGTAAAGGTTTAGATGGATAGAACTGTAATGACAGCCGGTGGTGGATAGCCTACAGCGATGGAAGGCCGGCAGACGGTGGCTGCAATGGACAGTGACAGAGAGCGACACCGGCAAGACAAAAACCAGAGCGGGATCAACCCGCTCTAATACCGAGTTAAATATAGTAAAAATTATATGTGAGATTAAATCTCACTTGTGTTAAATACACGTATAGGGTCATCTATTTACAATAGAAGAAATATGGGCTAAACCCAAAATATGAATAAGAAATAATAATAAACTAACTAAAGATAAAGATAAATATATAATATATCTAACAAATTTCAACAAATAAATATCACAGTTTAAATTTCTTAAGAGCAAAAGATGGAAGATACCTACTGGTCTTACATCAGGAAGTTGAAAATGAGTACCAAATATTTCAGCAACATAACCCCGCGATTGACTATCATAGAAAAACGAAAACCTTGAGGTAGTATAGCAATTTTACTTTTAGCCTTCCACATTTAAGTAATGTTTAAGAGTGCTACAATTTTAGAAGCCAATATGAAACACTAAATAAAATATATGGAAAGGTATACTTCTGAAAAGCCAACCATACACGCGAAGCATTAGAGAACAAACATCATAAAAACTTTATTAACCACAATGCCAAAGCAGAAATTAATGCAAGGAATAATTAACAAAAATGCAGACAACAGTTTGTCCTTATAACAGCACCTGTTTTGATCAAAGAAAAGGCAGAGTTGTTTCATGTTAACAAAAAAAAAAATACCAGCACCTGTTTTAATCTCTACACCTCAATGTTAATAGCTATAACATCTTCTACTTGGTTCAGTTTATGTAAGAAAAGGTTCACCAACTAGCAGCTCATGTTTCCTAATAGTAGAAAAGCAAGACTGCACCTTAAGAAAAAATAAATAAAAGCTACAATTTTGTTTTTAACAATTCCACACGTCCATACCTATCTCCATCATGAGTCCAGCAACTTTGCTTGGTCATAATATCATTCCAAAATACATCATGAAAGGAAAGAAATTAAAACTTAGCTTTGAAAAAAACTTAGCTCACTAGATACTGCTGCGCAAGTGGATGAGAGTGCCAAAGTTCTCTGATTCTCTTAAGTTTCCGAACCCCTTCCTTGCTGGTTTAAGCCTCACATTTATCTTGCTTTCTCAGCCTCTCGGATGCACACCAAAACTCTCACGAAAACTCCTCTCTTCCTTGCTGTTTTCTCTTCCCTGTGCTAGCAAACAGCCACAACAACGCTCCAGACAGATCCCAATTATATAATTTCAAAACTGCACATTGGTTCTAACAAAAAAAGCCACAAATAAAGCTAGAATTAGTCCACAATTATATAGTTAATAGAGTATTTTACCAAACATAATAGCTCATCACTCAACATTAAAGGCAACTATGGTTTCAATCCTGTTAACTCAATGAGCATGCATTTGTCACACAATTATACAAATAATTTCACATATCCAGATTTTCATTACTAACTTGAACAGTTTCAGCGATTATCACCAATTGCATCACTTAAGTTTCATGACCAGATTAAACACCAACTTCCCCACAAACTCATACCAACGTAATCTCCCAGTTACATGATATTTTCATTCAATTAAGATGGAAGCATTCACAACAACTAAATCAATAAACCAATCGTAAAACATCAATAATGCAAGAAGTATTACAATAATTATCATCACTTCAAAATGCACCTAACTGTCACTGCCCACAATAAAATCAATCACCCCACAATAACGCTTGAATCCTCTTCCCGCATCACAACCAATTCACATTTTCAATAATATGCATTTTCCAACCAATCACAGTTTATGCCACAACCTCATTATACCTCGTGAAGATCATCAACAACATACATATATACACCAAGTCAATTACTTACAATACCAAGGTATACAAAATAGCCACCGGAGAACCCACCTTGACTCACTCACCCGTGCCATTCTGTCATCACTCAAGCCAACATAATATGCACACTAAATTTGCCACTAATTAATACAACCCCAAAATAAATAATAGGTCACTGTTTCTCTACCAAGGCCTAAGCCCACACTACAACCATTTATATTTCTATCACTTACCAACAAGGATTGCCCACACACTACATGCAGCGTCATTTTATAACGAAGGAATCAAACCAAACAATAAATGGAAAACTAAACTCTGCAAGTAAAAGCCATGCACTAAAAAAAAAACCTCCAATTTACACCATAGCAACCCAAAGGAGAGAGTCTTACTCTCTGCTCTTACTACACTCGCTGCACATAAGGTAAATTTTCTAGCCATTAACCACCAAGTGGGACTCACGCGGTCCCTTCTACTAAATTCACAAACAAAATAAAACTCTCACTCCACTAACACGTTTCCATATTCTCTACCATGAACATCATTTATCTCTTTCTCAAAAGCTCGCGGGCCCACCTTTCTTCTAATAAAACAAGGGTAATGGTAGGTTGACACACCTAAACTTATTTGACATGATTTTTATAACAAGAGCGTGAGAAATAATGTGTGTAGATGTGTATCAAAGAATATTTTCTCATAAAACAAACATCTCCCCCACCCTTCGTATAAACATCTGGTCATGGATCAGGGAATAATACATGCAGTGAACCCAACCAACAACTCTCCATCTCACTTCTCTTCACTCATCCAATTACAACTAAAACTCCAAGACTTCAACTTCCCCTTCACCAATATCCTTCATCACCCTTATACCTCAACTTCACCACCCATCATTCAACCTAACATAATCTCCCAACTATCACACTATCTCTCTTCTTCTCTTTCTCCTTTGCCCTAGCCGAAACTCCCTCTTTTCTTCTCTATTCACATTGCACATTCTTCATTTAAATTCCTGGGTACACCACACTTTAACTCTACTCAAATCTCTTATTCACCCATCATGTCCAGTACCCTCACACCCCCATATATATACTCAAACAATCTCTGAAAACACACACTAGGCAGCACCAAACAGACACAAAAACAGCCTTGTATTATTATTCTTAAAAATAAAGAATACAATAATACAATTCGTACACTTCCAAGGGAGCAACCTCCCCTCACACAGGAAAACAAATATCCTGTCACTCAGAAAACAATCAACTCAACAACCAAGGGAACCAGTCCGTTCTCAGAGGTACAGACTTGTCCACACTAAGATACAAAAAACCGTGAAAAACACCAACCCTCCTTAAAATGCCAACCCTCCCAAGGAACCACAACTGCCTAACTGTTTTCCCCCAAACCCCTCTAACAACTATATTTTGTTATTATCTTCCCTTTCTTCTATCGTCCACATTCATATCCTATCACAATCTCTCTTTCATTATCCTTTTGTCATCCCGTCAACTATTCAAGGTGTAGTGATTACATCCACCCAACTCTTCCCACTGCCACTCTATTGTCCCTTCCCCGTTCTTCCTTTCCCCCAACAACCAGTGACCTTAGAACCTTCACCACTACCCCTTACACCATTTTCTTTTAACAGAACCCATGCATGAATAACCCTCTCTCTCCAAGCCAAGACACACACACCACCCAACGAAAGTATTCCCTGCAATGCTATATTTATAATGAAACCTTTCCAAACCACTCTCATGCGCATGCCAATCCTTCCCTTTCATTTCTTCTATTTCTAGTAATAACGAAGCCCATCTTTCCCTTGCTTTCTCACCACATCACAAACTCATCATCTTCTTTCATATTTCAATTACGTAACACCAATCCCATGCAACTCCACTTTTTGTTATTCACCACGATGGGACCCGCACTACCTAAACTCTTCCTCAATCTCTCAATTTCTCTCACATCATTCACGTGTTACTCCCCTTCTTCTACTCTCACCAACTTTCGTTTCCTTCCTCTTTTCTATCTTGTCACTAACCGAAACCAACTCTAACAGTACCTTTATCTTGCACTCTTATCCTATATTTTTCTTTCTTCCATTCTAACCTCTTTCTTCCTCACACTCCCTAAAGCTACCCATGCCCACGTATCCATATATTCCTTGCATTGCATGTTGTTTTATTATAAAACCTATTCTAATACAATTCTCTTCACACCTTCCTCTCATCTTAACCCCACTCATCACCCCCTTCTGTCTAAAAAAGGTGAAGCAGGTTTGCCTCATAAGCAAAAATACACAAGAGAAGAACCTAGAGGTTTCATGTGAAACCCTCAAGCATTCCCCAACACCGTCTGGCAGAGAAGACATAAACAAACCCTCTCAATGTCAAACAGAGGCCTAAAGAAGAAGAAGAAGAAAAAATGCTAAAAATAATATCACACGATACCCTTATTCGATCCATAACACACCCACATACATACCATTTCACAACAAGTCCGAAGTAATCACGCGACACTATAACTCGATCACCACACGTAGAACACTACTCAATACCATAGCTATTCAACACCCTATACTCAACAATAAGTTTCAGTTTCTTCCATTACATGGCCCTCAAAACAGTAGCCAATGACAACACCTGAAACTCTTAACTTACAACAACCCTCCGAATCTCTCACTCTGCACAAATAGAACACTCCATGCGTATATCTCAATCAAAGAAGAAACAGCTACAGCACACCAGGGATCATACAATGTACAACGCATCATCAAACCCTACCCACACAAGATATTTTCTAACGACTCCCCTTACCTTAGGTTTCCAGAATGATTCAAAGACTCTAGGTGTGACCGAGAACGTTCACTCCTTCTATGGATCACCACACGCTCACCGGAAAGGATAGTAGTCTTCCCGCTCCTCCCCAAGCGTTCTGGGTAGAAACAAAGAGACTAGGTTGCCCTCCCTCATCTCACGGCTGCTCCCAAATATCACCTCCCTGCTTTGATGCTTTCCCTCACGGCCGTAGTAGGTAACCTCCTTAAGTTTTACCCTAAAACTTACTTAAATATCACACACCCTTCCTGTTATAATTCTATCTTTTTTTCTAAACTTTGCATGGCCCAAAATATTCCCCTAATCTAATTATAATGGGCCCCCATAAGTTTCCTTAATTTGCATCTAATTAAAGGAAAAACTAACTAACCCAGTGCCCCAAACCACACTCACTCTCGGTTTTAAATAACAATCCTAAAGCCCAAAACCCTCTACGTTACCTGCTGCATGCTTCTCCATGCATAAATACCCCACTGGCTAAACCAATTTATGCTCTCTCCCACTCACCTGATCCATAAGGCCAGAGAGAATCGAACCAGCGTCTGGAAGATAATTAGGACAGCATTATAATGCAAAATTTGCATTATAGACCTTACTTTAGCCCATTTCCAAAATTAAAATAAAATTAATTATTAATTAATTTTCATATTACTTCTAAACATTTTTATAACCCAATAAAATATCTTAATTAAATACTTAATATTAGAAAATATAAAAATAAAATAAAAACTATTTTAATTTTATTCGATTTCACAACAAGTTTTAATCCAATTTAAAAATAGGGTAAAAGATCATAAAACAGTATCATATATATATATATATATATATATATATATATATATGGGTTTGCTAACACGCGTACGCCTTTTTTTAGTTGGTACATTTTAGTAATGTGTATCGGGTTTTAGTAGGCAAAAATACCCTTATATATCATGGATTCTAAGTTTTAAGGTTAAGGGTATTTTAATAATATTTTGATAAATGTTTAATTTTCCCTTAAATAAATAATATAAAGAAACTATTAAGAAACAAAAATATTTTTTTTGTTTTATAAACCCGACAAGGATTGACCTTACTCCTATCTATATCCATTTATGATGGACAATCAGAGATCGCGTAGTTCTTTATGTAGAAAAAAAGTTTGTGAGTTTGTTTTAAAAAATATTATAGATTTTTGTGTGTAGGAAAAATTATTTTTGTGTAGGAAAAACATTATTTGTGTGTAGGCCGACACATACTTATAAAAAAAATTATGATTTAAAAAACATTATTTGTGTGTAGGAAAAACAAAACCTTTCTAGAGAAAAGAAAAAAAAACTCCAAAGTACAATAAAAAGAGAAAAATAAGGGTGTAGAGGTAACATACCTTTTTAGCTTTTGATACTCTCTTAGTGTTTCCTTTGTGGTTGTCTATGAGAATATTTTTTTTTCTATACTTTCTTTCTCTCTTTCTATTATTTCTGTCTGTTTCTCCTTCTTTTTTTCATCCCCTTTTTCTATGACAGAGTGCGTATTTATATACACACTGTAATATTATGACAATCTTACCTTAATTATGAATTAAATGTCAATAAAACAGAATAGGGAAAGAAATGGTCTTGGTTGCTAGAAAACAAATTAAATAATATTCAAAACATTGATTATCATTATTGTTAGAAAATTTGTCCATATTTAAAAATCATATTTTCCTCTTTAAAAGGAGATGACGCAGCAAATTATATTAATATACTATTTAATTATTGTTTATAATTATTAGCATTATATTGATTCAAATTATTACCATATTAAACTAACATTTCAAAAATATTGTATCTAGTATTAAAGTTATTATTTTATCCTTTTTACCCACCATTAATTATTATTCTTTTATTCTTTATTTGTATTTATTTACTTACCCGAACGAAATTGGGTGTTGATAGTTGCCCCTCTTTATTTAGATTTTGCTAGATAACATGAACTTTAGAGTTTTTGTGTTATCATAGTAAAAGTTAAATAAAGATAAAAACAGTAATTTCGTTCGGGTCCAAAGAAAAGGAGAGAGATTACCTCAAAGCGTACCTGGTAGAGAATGTAGCAACCTTGTGGATTTTGCTGAAGAGTAATACTTGATGGTGAGGCGCACGAACCTCGTATAACTTGATGGTGAGGTGCACGAACCTCGTATAACTTGATGGTGAGGCGCACGAACCTCGTATAATTTGATGGTGAGGAGCACGAACCGTATAACTTGATGGTGAGGCGCACGAACCTCGTATAACTTGATGGTGAGGTGCACGAACCTCGTATAACTTGATGGTGAGGCGCACGAACCTCGTATAACTTGATGGAGAGGTGCACGAACCTCATAATACCTTTTTTTTTTTTGAAAATTCCCAACTTTTTCACCGATGTACTTGTTGAGTCGACTTCCATTGAATTCGTGAATTTTCTTTTGCATGATGTGTTATGCTTTTTCATTGTACCCCTATGATGATACATGCATGATGTTGAATGCATGGGTGAAAATTCATGTGAGACCAAAATATGGTATTATATTTCCCGTTTTGTTTTAAATTCACGACATCCTTTAAGAACAAACTCGCACCCTGTGAACCTGCCTGTGATGCTTATTATTTTTGGGGAGGTAATTCGAAAGTTAAGAGCGACCTTACAAAGAAAAATAATGATTGAATAAATCATAATACAATAATGTCAATTCCAATTTAAAAGCATTCCCTATCATGGAATTATTATGCATAGAATTTTTTTATTGCGTTAGAATTAACCGGCAAAGGTAACTCCTCCCCATCCATTTTTCTGAAAATAAGTGCCCCACCATCAAATGCCTTTTTTACCACATATGGGCCTTCATAATTTGGAGTCCACTTGCCTCTGTGATCCATTTGTATTGGAAAAATCTTTTTTTAGGACCAGTTCGCCTTCTTGGAGTTCCCTAGGACGTACTTTCTTATTGAATGTCTTTTTCATTCTTCGCTGGTATAATTGTCCTTGACATGCTGAGGTCAATCTCTTCTCCTCTATAAGATTGAGTTGATCAAACCGGGTTTGAACCCAATCCGCTTCTTCTAACTAGGTTTCCATTAACACTCGTAATGATGGGATTTCTACCTCGAAGGGTAGTACTGCTTCCATTTCATATACCAAAGAAAAAGGTATTGCCCTAGTCGATATACGTACCGATGTGCGGTAACGAAGGTACATTCCTCTTGATATTTTTTTATTAGCGGCTTTGACTGCCCCATTCATCTTTGGGCGACGATGTGAAGTTTGATTGTTCAACTTTGCGGCAATGAGAAATTATCTCTAAATCACAATAGTCGACATGCATTATCATCCTTCTTCGACACGATGCTTGCCACCTATTGGGAGTATTTTGCCCCAGCTAAGAATCTCGCATTGAACTGCTTTCGTATTTCATCTTTGATTCTTAAGACATTCTGGCTTGAGTAGTAACTCGTGTTGAACTCTTTCTTCATGCTAGTGCCGACGTTTACCTCTTTTTTTTCGCCCTCTTCTCCTATATTAAAGATTTCCAACCTCTCTTTGATGGGGTTTTATTTCTTTAGAATCTTGCTTCACAAATCTCATTAACTTTGGAGAGGGTTCCGGGTCAATCATAATCATCTTCCATGTTATTGATAGAGTGCTCAAAATTAGGAAAATCAACATTATTGTTTTCAAAACATTCATTATCATATTCGTATTATTTGAGTTAAAAAATTTAAGACACAAGATGTAACACCCCGAAATTTGGTGTTACGCCGACTAATTTTTCCGTAAAACACTTATGTAAAAATTTCAAATTTTTAATATCCAATCTCTTCGGAAAAATAGTACGTTATTTATTATAAACCGATTATTCCGAAAATAAAATGTTCAAATAGTCAGGATCGAATAAAATATTAAAATACATTCCCAAGTCCTCTATCCCATCTCTCTTTCATCCTTTATGCATGTTCATAAGCATCATCCATCACATCTGTAATAACATCTGCTCCCGTATAACATCACGCATTATACGATCATCGCATTCACATGCACAAACAAGAAAGGGTGAGCTAACGAAAATACAGTATACATACATCCCAAATATACTTATACCTTAAGTATACTGCACACCCAACATACTTCATAACACACTACCATTCACATCTTAACTAGATCAAGCTACACACACAAGTACGAATTATACTTCAACAACCTTACATACACCAATATGTATCACACCAAATCAGAATGCATACACCAATATGCATCATAAACAAATACCTGCATACACCAATATGCACATAAAATGAACAGTATGCATACATCAATATGCATCATAAACAAATACCTGCATACACCAATATGCAATCACACCAAATCAGAATGCATACACCAATATGCAATCACACCAAATCAGAATGCATACACCAATATGCGCGAACGTCACTCCCATCACTCTTTTCAGAGCTTCCCCGGGCAGTTACACATTACCCCAATGTGTAGTGCTGCTTCTCATCACTTTATATGGAGATTCCCCGGGCAAGTACACAATGTCACCCTCCATCACTCTGATCAAGAGCTTCCCCGGACAAGTGCAAGTATACCCCCCATCACTCACCTAAAGAGATTCCCCGGGCCAGCACGCACAACGCCAATCAAATTTGTAATGAGCTTCACCGGACTAGTACCCCACGTCACCCCCATCACTCTTACATAAATGTTAGAGATTCCCCGGGCGCTTACACACATCACCCGTGTGTAGGGTTACTTCCCATCACTCTTCAAGAGCTTCCCCGGGCCAGCAACCACAACGCTTACTATCCACCACTCGTTCAATAACATCATCCGACCAAAATACTCATATACAATAATCCTTACAATACCAATCCAATCATATCATAACACCCATATCATATCATCATCACATATTCACCAACCATGAACTTAGCACATGTTCAACATTTTCAAATGCATAAGTGAGATCAGTATAATACCATATCATTAATAACCTCAATTCTTCATTTAACATGAAACTCATAATCAAATCATATACAACCATGATTTCAACAGTACTTAACCATCCAAACATCATTCTCATATCAATTTGCAATCTCAAACAGATCTCACAACATTTCCATATCAAATAGATATATCAAACAACTCAAAACAGTGTACACATAACACATTTTCTTTATATTTTTTTATTACTCATATTTATTTATCTCAAACA